ATATAATTACACTAATCTCCCTTTTAGTAAAGTTAAATAGATCGAAACTAATGCAGATATTGTGTAAGTACAAAATAAATAACCTAAAATATACAATTTTATTTAAAAAGTATGATAATATTATTTTTTCATCCATGTAACTAAAAAAATTATTGATGAAAATTAAGTATGATACAAATTAAAATAAGGGAACTCAATGTAATTATGTTAAAATTATAGCGTTCACTATATTATGTTAAGGGAGTCTTTATCTTTTTTTAAAATTCATTTCATTTCATTATAGGGAGGGGGGTGGAGAAAAGATATAGAAAAATGCTTGAGACCCCCATTTTTCGAAGACATGAATAAAAATTTATATGTATTAAAATAATAGGAATGATTTGACTGCCAAACTAATAACATGTAAATAAAATGTTGAAATAAAAGGACTTTCAATCTGTCAAGTAATTGTTGAATTTCAATTTTAAATGTCATTTTCAGAATGAATTTTATAATTGCGTAACTTAAAATCGCATTTTCAAAATGTGAGTTTATGTTGAAATTACATGTTAAAATGTAATTTCAACTTGCCACGTCGGCACAATAAAAGTCATGTCACTTTGAAATCACATTTTTAACATATGATTTCAACTTGTCACATCAGTATAGTAATCCATGTCGACCTGAAATTAAATTTTGAACATGCAATTTTAAGTTGAAATTACATGTTCAAAATGCAATTTTAAAAGTGAATTAATTTTTCAAATAGTTTGAAAAGTAAATCAATTCTCTAAATTTTTTTTTAGAATATTAAAAAAAAAAACTCCCCAAACTACAACCATTGTCACAGACTGATCTAATTTTCCAAATCCCAAAATTTACTCAATTATATATATCAAATAAGAACTTTTTAACAGAAATAGTGCCATTCATCTCTGAAAAGTATTGTAGCACAGAATAGGAAATAGTACTGAAAAAAAAAAAGAGAAAAAAGAAAAGAAAAGAAAAGAAAAGAAAAGGTGTTACACCTCAAAGCTCTTGTAATGAAAATATAAACTCCAGAGAGAGAAATATAATTTTCCAAATGTGAAAATCTATATTAAACAAAAATCTTAAAATGTGTCCGTGTAATTTACCTATAAATCATACATGAAAGGAAAAAAATTGATCTAATAATCGTAAATTACATGATTTCATTATATTTGTATTGAAAAGAGAGTAGACTTTGAAAATAAACCATCTTTTTAAAGACAATAATGAAATCATGTGTTCTATGATTATTAGAATAGTTTACCCATTTCAATAATGATTTGCATATATAAACTTAAATTATTTGCGAAACTAATTTGTTTTTTAAAATCACACGTTCAAATATAATTTTATGATGATGTAGACTATTATCATGATAAATTAAAATTGTGTAATGTAAATGTGATTTTATTGAAATCGCATGTTTAAAATGTAATTTCATTTGAAATTGCATTTTCAACATGTGATTTTAAATGAAATTATATTTTCAACATGCGATTTCAATTGTTATCTATCTGTGACTTGCTACATCGATTCCAATGTAATGTTATCAATCTTAAGTTATGTGGTATATCGTATCATATTTCTTAATATAAAAATGTGTTATAACATTTATATTTTTATGAGTAAAATAAAGTATATAAACATTACAATTGACATAGTTGTAATTTTATGTAGGTAGTTGATTTAGAGAGCTGTCAATTGACATAATTGTCACCAACGATGTGAAATTTAAAACCAAATACATTAAGTCTCACATTTTTCATATAATTACGCTAATCTCTCTTTTAGTAAAGTTAAATAGATCGAAACTAATGCAGATATTGTGTAAGTACAAAATAAATAACCTAAAATATACAATTTTATTTAAAAAGGATGATAATATTATTTTTTCATCCATATAACTAAAAAAATTATTGATGAAAATTAAGTATGATACAAATTAAAATAAGGGAACTCAATGTAATTGTGTTAAAATTATAGCGTTCACTATATTATGTTAAGAGAGTCCTTATCTTTTTTTAAAATTCATTTCATTATCACATAATATAGCAAGGCGGGAGGGGAGGGGGAGGGGGCTCCGTTGCGGAATCTGCGATTCCGATATTCAAGATAGTCGTTTCCCTATCTCGGTCTGGTTTAGTGTGGTTGGAGAAAGATATAGAAAAATGCTTGTGACTCCCATTTTTCGGAGACATGAATAAAAATTTATATGTATTAAAATAATAGGAATGATTTGACTGTCAAACTAATAACATGTAAATAAAGGGTGTTGTTATGGTGTGCAACCCCTTAAGGTTGCACACCTATGCAACCAACACAAAAGGTGTAATTGAAAGGTGTAAACATAAAACAGGACAGCAAATAGAAAGACGTAAGTGTAAGGTGTAAGTTGCACATTTAAGAAAAGTCCGTAAATAAAATGTTGAAATAAAAGGACTTTCAATCTGCCAAGTAATTGTTAAATTTCAATTTTAAATGTCATTTTCAAAATGGATTTTATAATTGCGTAACTTAAAATCGTATTTTCAAAATGTGAGTTTATGTTGAAATTACATGTTAAAATATAATTTTAACTTGCCACGTCGGCACAATAGAAGTCATGTCACTTTGAAATCGCATTTTTAATATGTGATTTCAACTTGTCACATCAGCATAGTAATCCATGTCGACCTGAAATTAAATTTTGAACATGCAATTTTAAATTGAAATTGTATGTTCAAAATGCGATTTTAAAAGTGAATTAATTTTTCAAATAGTTTGAAAAGTAAATCAATTCTCTAAATTTTTTTTTAGAATATTAAAAAAAAAAAAACTCCCCAAACTACAACCATTGTCACAGACTGATCTAATTTTCCAAATACCAAAATTTACTCAGCCTCCGTTTGGGAAGTGGGTTGGCTTTTTGGCTTTTTGGCTTTTTTTTGTGAGAGAAGAGTGTAATGATTATGGGTTGGATGTGATGTTTTGTTTGTTGTGGCTAAAATAGCCTGTTTTGTCTTTTGTAGCTATTTTAGCCCCAACCCACTTGCCAAACAACACCTCAATTATATATATCAAATAAGAACTTTTTAACAGAAATAGTGCCATCCATCTCTGAAAGTATTGTAGCACAGAATAGGAAATAGTACTGAAAAAAAAAAGAGAAAAAAGAAAAGAAACGAAAAGAAAAGAAAAGGTATTACACCACAAAGCTCAAGTATTAGGGTCTCATTTGGCCATCTTCAGTTTTAATTAAAAAATTATTATAAATTATTACATTAATTTCTCTATTTTTTTTATATCTTTTTATAAAAAATTATTAAAATAATATGTTTCCAAACGCTGTCTAAATTGAGAGGAGAGCAAGTGGTGTGAAAAGTGCAGAAAGAAAATTTAATAGAATATGTGCCCACACACTCTCAGTTGGCCCCATTGATGTCGCAAAAGTATAGCACTGTCCCATACTATATATAATATATATATAGGTGGTTCAAAATAAATTCTAAATAATTACTGGTGTCCATATGCCTTTGGAAGAGAAAAAAAAAACAAATGCAGACTCTCTTTTTTTCCCCAGAGAAAACAAACACCTGGTTAGCAGAGGATTGTTCAGCGATTTTCTGAACTATTTCATGATTTAATTTTATTCACGACTAGTAGTCACTTAGAGCATATTCTTTTTCTTTTTTATTTAAAGATTCATCACTTAGAGCATATTCAATGTTAAAGTGTACACGTAAAAGAAAATAATAATAATAATAAACTCGCTTTACTTTGTGCGTTAAGTATTTGCTTATTTAGTGTCGATATGGCAACTCAGCTCTAATGGAGTAGTCTGCTAACGGCTCAATTAGAGCAAAAATAGGAAGCCCAACTCAATAACTGTTTTAGTGACCGACACTAGTCAGCATTTAACACTCTCATTGGAGATGCCTTTTGTTTTTTGCTGGGACTTCAAAAAATACGATATTTTTAACAAAGGAGTGTTTTTCCCTCCTTTTCTATTTGAGGTCTTCGGACAATGAATACATATATATGTTTTGGACTTTGGATAAAGAGGGTCTTGTTTTTGTTGGGCATTTTAACAAAGGTTTTTCTTTATTAAACTTTAGACAATATTCGAAAAAGTGAGGCATTAGATGACTGGCCTCGGCCGCCTAAGAGTTGAGTTGGACCTGAATGGTAAACCCATCACAAACACTCAGAAAGACCAACCTAACATTTGGGAAGTGAACAACCTTTACCTATTTCTCATCTAAATGGCTCACAGCCATCTGGGATGAGCCAAAGAATATAACTCAATCAAAATGGAAAACCAAAAAACACAAATACGAACAACAAACCCCAATTATTTACACCAGACTGCCAACATCTGTAGATTTGAAGACGAAAGCACTGGGATATTTGAATTTTTTATAATGTTTGAAGAAGAAAAAATTCACATCTTCTAATAAAAAAATATGTGCTCTCTCCCACATGAATGAGATAGAAATTCCGCATTTTTCTAAATCTTTCTTACTTAATTTTCAAGTAGATTTCTACATATTTTACAATATTTTATCTAAGAATATTATACAATATGTAATATATTATGTGTCCATGACATGTTCCAGTATCCATCTAGGCCATATCTAACTTTAGGATACATATCTCAACGTCCTAAAATCTAAGTTTATGAAGGTCTTATGTTTGGATAAGCCCATTCTCATACCGAAGTCCTTTTAAAATAGTCAGTTGGACAACTAGAATAACACTCAGTATAAATAGCTGGTGATGTTCCAAACAAATATATATATATATATATAAGCAATATGTGTGATCTTCACAACAAAAATAGGATTTCATGCAAAATATTACATGCTATGAAAAATGGTATAAGCTCTTTCCAAATAGCAATCATATGATATGCTTACTCATTTACAAGGCCCTTGTCAACAGACAAAAGTCAACTAATGTTCATTCCATGGATAGAACACAAACATGTTATACCAAACCAAATAAGCAATGGATGCAAAGAGTGGGGACCAACTGCTATTTGCAACCCAAGAGAATCATTTCTATTCATAACATGAGCAATTGGCATTAAAATTAAGTCAGGGATGATCTGAAAATTATGTAGGCAGAGTATATGTACTTACAAAGATGGCATTCTCCCAAAAGAAATTTCAAGATTTCAGCAGCCACTTAGGAGGGAGGGAACCTTGAAGGTTCTTGTGCATATTTGCCCTTTTTAAACCACTTCATCTCTTCAGATAATGATCAATAAGAGGCTTAGCAAATTCTTCAGGAAAAATTGTCTTCGACAATGGAATCTGGTAGGTGATACAAAGCATAAAACCTCCCATACAAACATGATCGCATAGATGTAGCAAACAACTATAGTTGGTACAACATTAGAGCTTTCTGCTCTGTAAACTTCCACACCAAACTTGACCAGACATGTCTGCCATCTAAATTATCAGAAGGGTATCTGATAATAATGTTATGAGGTCAATTATATCACTTCCCAAACCAATTTTCTGATGCTTCTTTTTCTTTATAGATGACCTCTTAAATTAAAAAGATAAATTCTGGTGGGGTCATCATCAGCTCGACAAAGTCAGATGATGAATTATGTCAGGCCAGCTTTGAAGCACACAGCTAAACAAATCATTCAATTCAAGTGGAACCCAAAATCTGGCCAAGAATCAACTGTCAATGAGAATACGAAACTTCACCCGCCTTTTAATGCTACCCATCCTATCATACCCAATGCCAATTTTACTACGCATCAACTTCATTGCCAAATCTGCATTCCCTGCTTTTCTCAAGGCATTGATCAAAATACTGCGAACTCTTCCAGGTATTTCTCGTCCCCTATCAATAGTCCCATCGGCCAACTTGCAAGCCTGCTCAATACGGCCAGCTTTGCACAAAACATTGATCATATCTTCAAAAGCTGTTTCTGGAATGATCCCCATCGGTGCCAGATCATCTAAAATCATGCAAGCCCTTGCCACTTTGCCTGAAAGACAGAGCCCAGTTGAAAGAGCTCTAAAAGAAGCAGCAGTAGGAGTAATACCCTTATCAATCATCATATCCCACAACTTCAATGCCTCTTCATTTCTATGCTCTTTGAATAATCCGTCGATTAATATGGTATACGTATACACAGTCTGATCACAACCTTCATCTTCCATTCTCTTAAAGAGCACTAATGCTTCATCAATCTTCCCATTTTTAGCCAAGGCATCAATAAGTGCATTATAGCAATATGAATCCCGTGTGCATCCCTTCTTAACCATTTCTTCAAAAAGTTTCTCAGCTTCATCAACCCTCCCAGCTTTTCCAAGACCATCAATGAGACTTGAATAGAACACTGCATTTACAGACACATTGTTAACTTTACACCATTTAAAATACTTCACAGCCTCTTCCAACCTCCCAGATTTGCATAAACCATTAACAATTACCCCATACGTTACTTCATCAGGTTCAAACCCATCACTCTTCATTCTCTCAAAAAGCCTTAAAGCCTCTTCCATGTTCCCACATTTGGCATATGAATCGACCAAAGCAGTAAATATAGCCACATTAGCTTTACAACCACTCCGAACCATATTTTCAAAAACAGCATAGCCTTCCGAAGACTTCCCATCTTTACAAAGCCCTCCAATCACTAAACTATAAGCATGAGGTGGAATCTCCAATTGCTTCTCTTCCATTTCTTGGTAAAGACTCAAACAAGAATCGAAATCGCCCTCCGAATAGCACGCCTGCATCAAAGTTAAATAAGTGATCTTATCAGGTTCCACATTTCTCACTTCCATATCTCTAAATTTCTCCATTGCTTTCTGGGTCTTCCCTGACTTACAATACCCTTTAATCATTGTGTTATATGTTACAACATCTGACCCAACCTTCCCACCTTCCATCACCTCAAAAACCCGCTCTGCGGATTGAATAAACATTGAATTCACCAACCCATTCATTAAAAAGTTATACGTATACAAACTCGCCTCAATATCATTTTCTTTCATTCGACGCCACACCCACAACAATTCCTCCACCATCCCTAAACTCCCAAAGATCCTAATTAAAGAATTAGCCGCGGAAACATTCATCAACAAACCACTATCCTTAAATTCACCAAACACACCTCTAAGTCTATTCAAATCACCAGATACTGATAGTATATCAATCAAAGAAACATAGCATTCAATATTATGAGTATAACCCTTTTGCTTACCAGTCCAGTAGAATAACCGTAAAGCCGTGTCGAATTGGCCCCGAAGCCGATCGGAACGCAACACGAATGCGACAAAGCTGGGCGACAATTTGATGAGAAATTTGTGGCAATAAGTGTCTAAATTGTGCTCCATGTTTGGTGAATTGTCCAGAAGGTTGAGAATTTGGTGAACCCAAGGGGAGGGTTGGAGGTTTTTGGGGTCCGTGACGAGATCAGAGACGTCAATGAGGGGTTGAACCCACTCTGGAGGTGGGACTGAATAGGTGAAAACCCATCTGGGGTTTGAGCTGAATTGGGAAGTTGGGTTAAGTTTTGTGGGGATTTGTGGTGGGTACAGAGCAGAGTGAGAGCTTCCATTGGTGTTTTCTGCTCTGTAAACATCCACACCAAACTTGACCAGACATGTCTGCCATCTAAATTATCAGAAGGGTATCTGATAATAATGTTAGGAGGTCAATTATATTACTTCCCAAACCAATTTTCTGATGCTTCTTTTTCTTTATAGATAACCTCTTAAATTAAAAAGATAAATTCTGGTGGGGTCATCATCAGCTCGACAAAGTCAGATGATGAATTATGTCAGGCCAGCTTTGAAGCACACAGCTAAACAAATCATTCAATTCAAGTGGAACCCAAAATCTGGCCAAGAATCAACTGTCAATGAGAATACGAAACTTCACCCGCCTTTTAATGCTACCCATCCTATCATACCCAATGCCAATTTTACTACGCATCAACTTCATTGCCAAATCTGCATTCCCTGCTTTTCTCAAGGCATTGATCAAAATAGTGCGAACTAGGATTGTTCAGCGATTTTCTGAACTATTTCATGATTTAATTTTATTCACGACTAGTAGTCACTTAGAGCATATTCTTTTTCTTTTTTATTTAAAGATTCATCACTTAGAGCATATTCAATGTTAAAGTGTAAACGTAAAAGAAAATAATAATAATAATAATAAACTCGCTTTACTTTGTGCGTTAAGTATTTGCTTATTTAGTGTCGATATGGCAACTCAGCTCTAATGGAGTAGTCTGCTAACGGCTCAATTAGAGCAAAAATAGGAAGCCCAACTCAATAACTGTTTTAGTGACCGACACTAGTCAGCATTTAACACTCTCATTGGAGATGCCTTTTGTTTTTTGCTGGGACTTCAAAAAATACGATATTTTTAACAAAGGAGTGTTTTTCCCTCCTTTTCTATTTGAGGTCTTCGGACAATGAATACATATATATGTTTTGGACTTTGGATAAAGAGGGTCTTGTTTTTGTTGGGCATTTTAACAAAGGTTTTTCTTTATTAAACTTTAGACAATATTCGAAAAAGTGAGGCATTAGATGACTGGCCTCGGCCGCCTAAGAGTTGAGTTGGACCTGAATGGTAAACCCATCACAAACACTCAGAAAGACCAACCTAACATTTGGGAAGTGAACAACCTTTACCTATTTCTCATCTAAATGGCTCACAGCCATCTGGGATGAGCCAAAGAATATAACTCAATCAAAATGGAAAACCAAAAAACACAAATACGAACAACAAACCCCAATTATTTACACCAGACTGCCAGTTAGGGTTTCAGAGGGGATGGAGTTGAACGGAAGAGAGATGGAGGACTGAGGAGTCGATTTCGAGCGGCGGAGACGTGACAGTGTAGTGATCGGACTGAGATGATGGGGACGTGGGAGATGGTTGCGCGCGTGTAAATTGGATGATATATTGTGGGTATTTTCGTCTTATTGTTAATTTGAGGACTTAATGGAGTATTAAATTTGTTTTGGGTCTAAATGGGGTATGATATGTTGGGCTTGGACCTTTGGGTCAGACGCCCATCTTAAATCAACTTCGACATCATCCTCATGCGAGCCCACAGTCATATCCACATCCAACCCAAATCTTTCTGATTAGTAGTGTCGGGGCCCAACTCACACTCAATCACACCTCTGACTTCAGGGTCTTGACCCCAATCGTGAATTAACACTATGTTTTAAGAGAGAAAAAAAAACAAATAATTTCTTAAGTTATAAGAGAAAAAAAAAAAAGAAATGATTGTAATTTTTTTTTTTGTTTGGACAAATAAGAAATAAAAGAAAAGAAATGATTATGATTTTTCTCTTTCTTGTTTGGTTAGATTTCATAATGTTGTGTTTGGTTAGGGGATTTAGAGAAGAATTTGAAAAGGAAAAGGGAAAAGGTGTGTGAAACTAGGTGAAATGTATGTATATTTTATTTACATTTCACTTAACTTTTTCCTTTTCCTTTCTAAATCTCTCTTCAAATCCCCCAACCAAACACAGCATAAGAGAAAAGAAAATAAAAGAAATTATTTTATGTTATATTTTGAAAATAATCTTTTTATATTTTCAATCATTTTATTTCTTTTATTTTTACATTAACAAAATTGATATTATAAAAATATTGGTTTCTTTTTTTTCTCAATCTCTTCACTTTTGAGAAAATTGAAAATAAGAGTTATAAGAGAAATGAGTTTCTCTTCGTTTCTTCCCATTTAAATTATCCAAACAAGTAAGAGAAATATACATCTCTTTGTTTTTTTCTTTTCTTTTATTTTCTCTCCAAATCACTCAATCCAAACATAGCGTAATATCAATGAGTCCACAGCCACCACCCTCCTTCACAGATAGGAATCACCTGATGACAGCCAACTACCGGGGTCAACACCAACTGAATGTAGCATTGAAGACCATTTAATCCAAGCATCCTCAGTATGAGGCCATGGAGGCTCAGAAAGAGCGAGTTGATCCCAAACATAATACATTTGGGAGAGGAAATCATTAATGGTCTGAGTGTTTTCTTGGCGCATACGGTGAAGATGACTCAGAAGCTGATATTGGTGAGCAAGACCGGTAGTCTGATAGCGTTCTTGCAAAAAATCCCAGATGGCCTTGGCTGGAGAGGAAGCAGACTCAAGTTGGAACCTACCAAACTGAAGGTTGATGGATGTAATAGAAGTATTGCGAAGCCAGGTGATGATCTGATAGTTTTTACTATCCTAATCTTCTAGTCGGTCGATATATTTGGCAGCGGAGTCCGTGGCAGCGGATTCCGTAGTTGCTGGGACTGGTTTGCACACATCCCCAGTAATGATACGCCAAAGTTTCTTGCCTTTGAGGAAGCCAAACATGGCTTGTGCCCAAAGGACATAATTAGTCCCGTCAAGAATAACGGAAATAGGGTGATTAGAGGAATCCGGGCGATCCATGAGGGAAAAATAGCACAATGGAGGTAGAATCTGAAAAAATCGAGGTTACCAGTGAATTCAGAAGGCCGAAATTAGTGGGAAAAGGAGTAAAACGACCCAAAATATGACCACAGAGGCACAGAAATGAGAGGCAAAGGGCGCGGCGCACGTTAGCAAGAAAGGGCGCGGCGCACGTTAGCAAAACAGGCCAGGCAGTGCACGGTAGCAGAGAGGCTGACGTGTGCTGACGTCAGAAACACGCGGCGCACGTTAGCAAGGTAGTGCGCAGTGCACGTTAGCACGGGACAGTGTGGAGGATGCATGGAGCGCGTGTGAGGCGGAAGGCGGAGGCAGGCGACGCGCCGTTCACAGAAGTGGCGCGTGAGAGCGCGTGTAACGTCGGATTGGACTGAAATTGGTGGTGTTGGAATCGTCCGGAGGAGACGAAGGCTCTGGTGTGGTGAAAACTGTATTTCAGAGATGGACGAAAAAGGGATACAGATGAAATGCAATCTGCAGAAAGATATGTTGGAAGAAGAGGCTAGGCAGAAAACCTGTGCTCTGATACCATATAAGAAATTGAGAGAGATTGAGAGAGCAAATAATAGCTCTGTGTTTTTGATGTATATTGCAACCAAATGGAACCTCCATTATATAGGAGATGTTTTACAAGACAAAATGATGAACAAAGGAAATATACAAATGAAAGCAAAAGGAAAAGAAGGTGTAAAGAAGGTGTCTATCTGTGCTAGGCTAGCAACAACTATTTACATATCAATTACATATCAATATAGTATTAAATTATAGGTATAGTTATAGGTATAGTATTAACAGAACAAAAGACCCACCAGAGAATACTGAAAATGATGGTTCCCCTTAAATAGTTAAAGAAACGTAGATGGGGCAACCCACGTCATTCCTCTGAATATTCGCTACCAACGTCCATATCACTGCTGTCTATCCAACCACCTTCGCGGATATTACTTGACATAGCTTGACTTCAAAAAAGTGACACAATGTCTGCTAGAACTAAAGACAAAACACCTAGCAATGAAAAGCAACACCAACTCCTAAACAGTCAGCCACCCTCAAACACACACAATAGGCCGAAACACTCAGTCCTGATGCATCCCACCTCAAGAAACAAAACAACAGTAAAGAAAAGACTTTCTCACAAAGGAACACCAACTCTCAGTGTAAAGAGAGTTTTGTCTAAAGCACCTGGAAAATTATACCTTATATGAACCATTGCTTTCAATTAATTTAAATTTTTGTTACTTTCAAAAAAAATAAAAAGTAATAATTAATTAAGACATTTTTCTATATTGATTATATGTATATTTTGGATAAAGGGTCAAGCTTGTCTCTAGTTCACTTTGTGGATTGAACGGTATTGTTAGGCCTGTGGAGCCCATCACGGGTTCTGTTTCATTAATCCGAATCGTTTAGTATTAATGTGTAGAGCTCGTCGAGTACTTTATCCTTGTAAAAAATTACGTTGATCAGATATCGATAACTACTTGTTTGAATCAGATTTTTGTTAACAATTTATTTTGAAAATTATATTTACCGTTGACAGAAATCTGATCCGATCAAGTAGCTATCGATATCCAATCAACATGATTTTTTAGAAGATTAAATACTCGACGAGTTCTACACGTTTTACGGTTCAGATCATTGAAACAGGATCCATGGTGGACCCCCACAGACCCAACAGTATGCTTCAGTCCGATCTTGGACTAGAGAGAAGCCTAGCCCTTGGATAAATTACACTTTACTCCCTTTATGTTTGGTCATTTTTTCACTTGGGCTCTTAAAGTTTATTTTTTCCCACTTTGGCTCTTTATATTTCAAGTTTTTTCCAATTTACTGTTAAAGCTAATTTTTGTTCAAAATTAGATAAAAAGTGATACATTGACAGTAGCTCTCTCTCTCTCTCTCTGTTTATTTTTTTCCACTTTAGCTCTTTATAAATCACTCCACAGCTCTCTTTGTTTCGCTCTAATTCTAAAATGTATAAACTAATACAATTTATAGGGTAAAGACTAATGGGCCAAAACTAACATTACAGGTCCATATATACCAATTTCGGCACAATCCTGACCTGTTAGGATTGCACGGGAGGCCTGTCCTATGCCCTTGACTAGGGGTATAGCAAATACAAAACACCTCACAACATAAGAATTGACTAATATGAGATTTAAATCTCATTCATAAATTAAATACATGTGATGTGATACTTGTAATTTGTTCGCAAATTTAATTTTATTATTATTTATAATTAATTTATTCTATGCAATATTAAGGGCTTTATTGGTAAGTGTTACAAGACCTTACACATTGGAGCTCATGATTATGAGCTTACAGTGCATTTGCAGGTAAAAGATTACAAAACATTGGAATAAAGCAATAATTGACGGTTCGCAAGGAGCCAAATATTTTCTAGAAGAGCTTATTCAATATAAGTGTAACACGTTATCATTTAAAAAGTGTTCTGATTCAGTTATTTCAGCTCCATATTTTCTTTCCTTTGAAACAAAATCCAACCAATTAGAGTGCATTTATGATTCATTCACACAAATTTTATGTCCGAATCTCCCAATAAGAAAACCATTTGCTAGAGGGGATTTGGGTGAAAAATTTGTATAGATGAATCATTTTTGAGTAGCGTATTATGTCAATTTAGTTTTTATAATTTAAATTATATCAATTTTGTATTTTAATTTTGAAAAAATTATTTATAAGTCTTATTAGGGAAACTTATGCTATATATGGTCTTACTAAAAAACTTATGTTCCCATAAGTCCCTGTGGGAAGTTTATTGACACATTTATTCTCAATATTCGTTGTTAATATTATAAATAATAGTAAAACCAAATATAGGAAATTGAATGTTACCATAAATCATATCTATATAAACGTAACATAACGTGACACCTACATAAACGTAACGTGAGACCTATGATCTATGCATGTTACCATAGATCATATCTACATAAACGTAACATAACGTGATACCTACATAAACGTAACGTGACACCTATGATCTATGGCAACATTCAATTTCCTATATAAGAAATTGAATGTTGTCATAGATCATATCTACATAAACGTAACATAACGTGATACCTACATAAACGTGATGTGACACCTATGATCTATGGCAACATTCAATTTCCTATATAGGAAATTGAATGTTGCCATAGATCATATTTATATGAAACGTAATGTGACACCAACATAAACCAGCAACATTTTCACATTCAATTTAAAAAAAAATAAAAACTCATTAAGTTTACGAAACGTAATGTGGCACATTACGTTACGTTTATGTAGGTGTCACGTTACGTTTATGTAGGTGTCACATTTCGTTACGTTTATGTAAGTGTCACGTTACGTTACGCGTATGTAGGATCTTGTGGAATACATTCCTATCTAAATATGATTTGAGACTCTATAAGAAATTATACAGGACTTAGCCTACATAGGTGCCTGAAAAAAGACTTATAAATAAGTCTCCCTTTAATTTTTTATATTGTGTCGATTTAGTTTACTTGATAATAATATCCTTTAAAAAAATGACAAAAATAAAGAGTAAAATAGTCCATTCGAGAGAGAGAATGAACCATTTCAAATTCGATACTAACCCTCAATTATTTTAAAAATAATGAATAGACTGCTTTGCCCTTAATTTTAGCTAAATTTTAAAAAGAGATTATAAATCGAACCCTATCAACACAATATGAAAAATTTAAGAATAAAATGAATATAATTAGAATTATAAAGATTAAATTGACTCAAGAGTCAAACTACAGATATTGCATGTGCAATTTGGCCATAATATGTCTATATCAAACAGACTATTAGTCCACTATATCTTCAATTTGGGGCACTTATCAGTAAGTTCCATATACAAAATTTAAAACCCATCTAGTCCCAAAACAAAACAATTGCACCAATTAGTCTTACATATTTTTAATTCTTACCAAAAAATCCTATTTTATTTTATTATTATTATTTTTTATAAATTTAAAAACGTTGCTACATCTCACCACCGCTAAACTTCCGCCAAACAGTCACCAGAGACTTATCGGAATATTCAACATCACTGGTAAGCCATCGGAGTATTGCCAGAAGTTCGCCACAGTGTTCTAAGCATCATTGAAAGTCGCTGGATATCCAAAACGTTCATTGGACGTCAAGATTATCGTCGGAAACTCATCAGAATGTCCAAAATATTACTCAAAAAAAGGAATAAAATGAGAAATTAGAGTGAAAAAAACATTGCAAAATGTGCTAAATATTGATAAACCGAATGGGAGAAAAAAACATAACAATAATAACAAACAACAACAATGGGGGAAAAAAAAAACATATAATATTTTTTTAATTTTTTTAGGGTGTAAGCAAATAATCTTTAATATTGATCAAAATGAAAAGTAAGCTTTTACAGTTTCAAAGTATAATTCTATTAAGTATTTATCCTTATTAATTAAATCAGAAAACATATTATGAAACTGTAAAGTTTTATAGTTGTAAAGATGCTATGAAATTGCAACATTTTGCAACTTTAAAGTATAATTCATTTTAGCACCAAAATCATTAAAACTGTAAAATTTTAC